CNNCNNATTTTCTCTCTCTCTCTCTCTCTCTCTCTCTCTCTCTCTCTCTATCTCTACATTTTCTTTCTCTCTATAAGGGCTCAAAGACCCAATTTTTATTGTAATATTTCTCCACCAAGATTGCAACTTTTCAGCTTATTTCTTCTCGTGGATGCACTAGAGACTTGGAGACTTTGTTTAAGGTTTAATTGGAGACTTAGTTGAAGGTCCAAGATCTCGTAAGTTTTTCTTGTCTTTACTTATTGGATTTTTCTATGGTAAAGGTAGGAGTTTTTATTAGTAGAATGTGCATTCATCCTCATGGGCGAGGGATTATGTAATTTTGTTTTTGATTGCGTGAACGAGAATTGATTTAAAGCTCGATTAATTGATTCACAAGTGACAATTGCTGATTGCATGTTTCCGAGTGCTTTCTTTCCATCTCGGGTCTTAGGGCGCCTTGTTATTTTTCTCTCTATTTTTCTTTTTCTTGCGAATTGAGGTCTTGCTTGTGTTAAAAATTGAATCTTGCCTACATTCTTGCTTTAAAGTTGTAACATTTAGCTTAATCCAAAACCCAAATAGCTAGTAGAGTGTTTAGGATCTTTATTTTCCTTTCTTGTGTGAGTTAATCGTTGCTTGAATTCATGGCCGAACAACCTTACTCCAGAGACACGACCCGAGGTCGAAATTTATTTCGTATTTGGCTAAAAACTACAAACAGGAATTTCATCATTTTCTTACAGTGGTCGGATCAATCCACTTAAGTTTTGCTCCAATGGTAGGCGGGGGTTCGATTCCCTCTAGGAGCTTAACGTATGGAACAACTAGAATTTATTCTTTGGAATTATACTAGAAACCTGGAAGTGTTGTCTGATTAATTAGGAGTGGGCTTCTTGTGTGCAGAGTGTAGAAGTTGGGTGGGGAACTGCCATGTTTGTATACAAAAATATCTGTTCAAAATGAGTTTTTTGGGTTAACCAGAGCAAATTGTGAAAAAAATATTTACTATAGGAAAAGAGGAAAAAAAACGGTGGCTAGTTGAGAAAAGGCAATGTCTGTTTTACGTCAAGCAATACATAGAGTAACTCAATATAACAGTAAAAGGAAGACGTGTAAGTGGCCGAACCAAAGACTAGAAATGATATAGATAGAGAAGTATGTTTTGTTTATTAACATCTCAGTAGCGATATGGTTAGTTGTTAGTGGAATTTTGAGTTTATATTAAAATAATATTTATATAAAATAATTAAAGTTGATTTGATGTAAAGTAGGAGAGAGATTATATGAAGTGATATTTAAAATAATGTGAGTTGATGAATAATAAATAAAAGTTGATGTGATGTATAAGAATGATTGATTGATATTATTTAATTATATTAATAATATTGAAGATAGTGAGGTTGAGTTCAAGTTGAGTTAGATTTTGAGTATGAATTGAGATATTTCATATACAAATACACCCTGAGGAGCTACGATGGAGACTTGGACTTACTTTCTCTAATTGTGGGGTTAATTTTTTCAGGTCCAAGATTTTTTTTTTGGGAACAAAGAAGGAGGCCAAGGGCCTAGAGAAAGGTTAGGCTAGAACGCGTCGGGGGTAGGATACCCCCATAGGATCATGATCGAGCCATGACCCTAAACCACCAAGAGGATCCAACACACATGCAACCCAAAAGAGTACGATGCCGCCAAACTTGCCATGTAATCTGCCGCAAAATTAGTTTCCCTATGCACATGGTTGATTCTCACACTCCAGCTATACAGCAACATGCTACGAATAACCCGCATTATCGCCGTATGTGCCCCAAGATCGTCATCAACACCAAGCACCATATTCTTCACACATTGGCTATCCACCTCTACTATAACCTGGCGAAAACCTAAGTCCCAAGCCAGCTGGAGTCCCTAAAATAATCCCCACAATTCGGCACCCGTGATGGTGCAAGCCCCTATGTTCATGAGAAATCCCGCGTTCCATCTACCGACCTCATCACTTAGAAGACCGCCCGCACAGCTCAAACCCCGCACACCATATTTTTCAGGTCCAAGATTAGTTTAATCGTAAGCTGCGAAACTTGAGAAAGAAAAAATCATGCATAAAGGTAATGTCTATATTTATCTTTTGAATGTTTCTAAAGTAAACAAACATTGGATATATACCAAAGATGTGCAAGATCTTTTTAGTATAAATATGTCATTCATTTTTCTCGAATTAAGGAGACTCCGGTTCGAATCTTTCTTCCAAGCTTGCATCTTTTGGTTAATTGTTTTTTATTGCTTAGAGTAAATTAGTTTAAAACCAACTCCAATCATCTTGCTTAGTATGTCTAGGATTTTATTTTTTCCTTTTATGCTTTTGACATCTAGTTTGTAAACGAAGCTTCGAATCACCTTCCTTGAAGATGACCCGAGGTAGATCTATTGATCGTACTCGACTAAGAACAACTTAACAAGCTTTCAACAGGCCATTCGAGGGCCCTAACTCGACTACTCCTTTGAGCCCCTCCACGGGCAGGACATTTATGTAATGGGGGCACACGATATTATAGCAATAACAGGCAGAAAATTTCAAAATTGGTCCTATAATTTGGCCACTGTCCAAAAAACCACCCCGATATTGACCACTTTCAATTTAGGTCCTATAATTTGTCGATTTCATCAATTTTGGTCCTTTTTTATCCGCACCCTGGATTAAAAAGTGACGTGGCATGAAAAAAGGACCAAAATTGATGAAATCGACAAATTATAGGACCAAAATTGACGTGCCACGTAGATCATAATCACGCCATGTAACATTGAAAAACTGACACATCATGCCACGTCACTTTGTAATCCAGGGGCGGATAAAAAAGGACCAAAATTGATGAAATCGACAAATTATAGGACTTAAATTGAAAGTGGTCAATATCGGGGTGATTTTTTGGACAGTGGTCAAGTTATAGGACCAATTTTGAAATTTTGCCCAATAACAGGGGAGGCATGTGAAATATTTTTTTTAACAGTATTATATTACAATAACAGGGGAGGCATGTGAAATATTTTTTTTAACAGTATTATATTACAATAACAGGGGAGGCATGTGAATGATTGGGGGCATGTAACCCCAATAAAATGGGCTGGATCCACCAGTGGACCCTCACGTCTTCTTCGACTTGAAAATTCTTTGCTTCATACTGGCTTTCGACCTCCGTCCACTCTTCCAGTGACTTTGTTCGACTAATCAGGCTCGTTCAGCCTAGTTGGCCGCTTTGTTGGGTTTCCTTTTCTGGGTGTATTATCCCATATCAGTATCCATATTGTTATATTTTGTGCGCTTACATTTCTCTTTGTAGTTTGCGTCACAATGTTTTACCAAGCTTAAGTTGTGTTATTCTCTTGTTTTCAATCCTCTATTTTGTTGAGTTGGCGAAGATAATATTAATATTTTGTTCTTCTATTATCCGTTTATTCCTTTGATTTTAAAATTCAGGTTATTAAATATTTAATGGTAAATATAAAAGAATATTATATGCTCTTCAAACTGAATATTGCTTTGATCCGACAATTCTATAGATGATATATTTCATTTAACTACAAAAAAGAGGCAACAAAATAGAAAATAAAAATATACACCATTATATATATATATATATATATTGGTTCAAATGAGAACTAAGTCCTAGCGTGAGAACCGTGAGAACCGTTATTTATAGTTGTACGTAGTGCTATGATTGATTTGTTCTAGTGCTATTTTTAAAATGGATCTATTTTCTGAAAAATAGCAACACAATTTATATTAGCATATGTGAAAATGATAGCACCATGTAATATTAAAAATAGCATCATACACAATAAAAAATAGCATCAAATACGGTTCTCACGGTTCTCACACCAGGACTAGTTTTTATTTGAACCACTCCCTATATATATAAATATAGATGTTGCGTATATAGTCACGCAATTAAAGGGTTTGTGGTGAGCCCATACCCGAACGGGAACAACGGGTCATAATGTCGATCGCCAACGTTCATCGGGAGTTGGTCAACAGTCTTGAACCACGTACGTGGAAGTTTCCCGCCAAAACCATAGTCCCCGAACAAAACATCAGCCACGCCATGGCCTTCGGTTCCCGGTAGCCAAGCCGCCACAAGGGCATCAATTTGCCATAGATACGGCTGAATCACAACCGGACGGCCTGTAACCAAAACCACAATGCACTTAACCGAGGAGGCGCACACATTTGTGATAATTGTGGGCCCTGGCTCGGGAATAGTTAGGTTTAGGCTGTCTCCTCTTGTTTCGGCATACGGCTTCTCTCCCACCACAACAATGGCGTACGAGAAATTGTTTGATTTTACGTATGTGGTGTCCGGATTTTCTCTATAAACAACTTTTGTGTTGTGATCGACAGCGTTCTTGATGCCGGTGAGGATAGTAGTGCCTGAATTTCATAAAATTAGTCGAAAGAAAAGAATTACAAAAAATTTTAATGAGAAATGCTATAGGTACTGTACATAGAGATAGAGGTGTACATAACACTCACATTAAGTGGGTCCTACAAAAAATAAAAAATCAAGTGGACCCCACTCCATGTGAGTGTTATGTACAGGTTTATGTACATTTATTATGTACTTGTAGCATTTTTCAAATTTTGTATTATGAAATTACATTTACATAGATTAGAAGCTTTTTACCAACTGTAATATTGCCAGGCTTTCCCTGCCATTCGATCGTCCATCCTCCACATTGGTTGCCGATATTGTTCGCGTGGGTCCCAGCCACAAGAATCTTCGATGCCTTCTTAGAAAGCGGCAATAATGGCTTATCTGCAGATTCCCCGTTCTTTAGTAGCACGAGCGATTTTCGTACTGCTTCCCTAGCCAGCTCTCTGTGTTCCTGTGAATTTTGTTCAAAACGCGTGATGAAATTGTTTACACGTTTCAAGAAAAAGTATAGTGCAAAAAAGTTGAACTTGCCTTGCTCCCGAGGTGCTTGACCTTGCTGTAATCGGCCAGTGGATGTTCGAATAACCCCATAATGAACTTGACTCTTAGGATTCTTCTCACGGCATCATCTATTCGTGTAATGGGGATAAAGTTGTTCTTCACTAACGAAGTTAGACCATCGATAAATTCTGTGTAGTTGTATGGAATCATAATCTGCAGTAAGTAAATGTCATAGTTAGCAATTTTCTAGAGAATTGATTTTTACCATGAAACCGGAAAATAAATTAACACACCATGTCAATTCCAGCACCGACGCCAGCTAAGAGCGAATACGTGTAGTTGGCATGAGGCGGGGTCGTGATTTTGTCTATGCCCAGCCAATCTGATATGACAAATCCCTGAAGTTAAATCGCACATAATTAAAATCACCACATTATCTCCTTGTTCATTATCTTCAAATGTAGAAGCATATGGATATTTACCCTGAACTTCAAGGTGTTTTTGAGAAAGCCGGTTATGAGGTCACGATTAGCATGCATCTTTACGCCATTCCAGCTCGAGTAGGATATCATGATAGTCCCAACGCCCTTTATGATTGAGGTGTAGTAAGGAGGCATATGGATTCTCAACAAGTCGTGCCTTTTCGTCAATGTGTTATTCTCGTTTATGCCTTTCATGGTCCCACCATCCGCCACAAAGTGTTTGGCGGATGCCAACACTTTCTCCCTGCAAAAATACACATTTTAAGGATGCAAAAAACTAGTACATAGTAACTAGTCATTTTTATGGATAATTTTGCAGACAAAAGTATTCCTTTTATCAGTATGCAGGTATTGCTTAATGATTCAGGAGAACTTTCGTCAAAATCAAGGAGGAGATGAGAGGAAATGATGAATTTGTACTTACTGTCCACCGATAAATGGGACACCCTTTGGAAAATTATGGGGTATATCTCCTTGCAGCCCAGCTATAATCTCAGTCATTTCTTGGACTAATTTTGTGTCTTCGCTAAAGCTTTCCAAACATCGACCCCATCTTGGATCACGACAAACCTGTATACCGTATTTTATTTTTGAAAAATAAGAAACAAGAAGAAGAGCCAAAATTTATATCTGGGGGAAATAATATATACAGTTGAATGAAGAGAGATTTTTAGAGGTTTAGTACAGCAACACATGGTGCAAAGGCAAAATGGATTCCTGTAGCTCTGACTTCAAGAGCAGTTGCAGCACCAATTCTCTTCACCAACTGGGGATCTCTGTGTATACACACAAAAA